TTCTAGAGGGCACCATTTATCTGGGGATGAGTATATAGGAGAGACAGCAACACTAGTGAGATATGCTTACCATGGAATAAATGGTCCATCATTCAAGCTCTAGAGGGTACCATTTACCTGGGGGTAAGTTTCAGAGGGATGGGGAAGGAGAGTGGAATGAAAATTGGAACCATAGGGAGGAAGTGGGATAACTATTGTTACATGAAGGGAATTGCAATCATTGAAATGAAATAAGTATATGACTTATTGAATGTAAAACTGATACTCTATAACTTTTCACTTAATTCACAATCAAAAGTCCCACCCCCCAAAAAAAACAGATTATATATATATATATATATGTAATCTTGAAATCTTGTGGGCACAGTGGAGATACTACTCTCAAATATTGCTAATAATAGCAATATTTCAAAGGCATAAACCTTTACAAAGCAATTTGGTAATGCTTCAAATGTTTTTAAAAAGTCTATAACCTTTTAGCCAAGAATTCCACTTCTGAAAATCTAGCTTGAGAAAATCTGGAGTAAGAATGATCTCTATCTTTATAAATATGTTTATAATAATATTCTTTATATTAAAGTTCTGTAAATCTTTATGTCCAGAAATGGGTGAATGCTTCAGTAAATTATGATTCAATCCTGGCAATAGAGTATTACATAGCAAGTAAGAGTACATACATAAAATATAAGTAGCAACATTAGAATAAGATACAGAACCTGTAAAGATGTTAGATTATAATATTTAAACTAGCTGGTAGCGATTAGGCAGGTCAATGAGATTGAGAAATAGGAGGCCATTTCAAAGAGAAGAGCATTTGTCAAGGTCCAAAAGTGAAAAAGAACTTAGAATATCATAGAAGCTGAAAATAATAGAAAGTTGCTGGAGTTAAGACAGTAGTATAATAGTAGACACCAAAGTGTGAGAACCTTAAACTTTATTCATAGTGATTTATATTTTACATTGTAGAAGATGTTGAACCTTTAAAGATTTTTTTTTTTTTTTTTAAGTTTACTCTTTTGGGATGTTTTTGTTTGCTAAAAGAGTAATAGAATTCATTACAATTAACTTAGCATTACCTGAGTTTTTAATCTTGGCCCAAGTATCAGCTAGCTGTGTAAGGTTAGGCAAGTTCTTTTATTTCTCTGTGCTTTTATTTTTCTAATAGTGATTTATATTCCTATAAAACAGGAATAATAATGCCTGACAATATACTTGTTATATTTGTTAAAAGATTTAATATTTGTTAACTACTTAGAACAGGGCCTAGCATAAAGTAAGCACTATTTTTAGCTGTTATTATTGTTAGAAATTTTTGTTTTAATCATCAAAATATCTAGGGAATTAGTAAAAAGAAAAAAGTTTAAGTCATTTCCTACTCAACTATCCCAAAATATGAAATGTTAGCAATCAGATAAGATTGTCTTCCAGAATTTGTTATGCTTAGATTTTGTATGTATTTTTGTTACATAATACATTTTCCTTTATATTAGAAATGGAATTTTTTTTAAGTTTTTATATAATATGCTACTGAATTTATTTATTGCTTTCTTAATGAAGTTACTGAAGGATATTAACCAGAGAGTGGTCAGATTTGTGTTTAGAGTTTTTTCTGACCAAAATATATGAAGAAAATATAGAAAGCAGGAAGAGTAGTAGGCTAAGCCAGGTCTCAAAAGTAAGCAGCAGTGATAACAGAGAATTCAATGTTGATTTTAGGATTATTTAGGAAATAGATCAAAATGTTAGATTGGGGCGGGGAGCTAGCTGGGGGAACAAAAGAAAATCTAGGGTGACTTCAAGGTTTTTGTAATTGGCTGGGTCAAGGTGTCGTTAACCATAGTAGGAAAGCAGGTGCTTTTGTGGGAAGCTTATAAATTTTGTTTTTAAAATGTTAATTTTTAGGTGCCTGTACTTCATCTATGTGGAGTTAGGATGAAAAGATGTTAGGGTTAGAAATACATAGCATGTAAATGGTGGTTAAAGCTATAATACAGCAACATTACCAAGAGAAAATATGCTTTCAGAGAGAATAAAAGGGAGCCACGTACTAAGTAGGAGGAAGTAGAAACATTTCAGTGGCATTATAACAAAGTACACATGGAAGCCAAATATTATGACTTAGCAAATTAAGAAAAAGCAAGGAAATGAATATAGTGATAAACTCTTTCTGTTAAAGTTTAGGAGAGGGTGGGAAGCTCAGTGGCCCTGTAGAATAAGCACTGGACTGCGAACCACAGGTTAGTGGTTCAAGCCTACCAACTCCGTGGGTGGAAGATAAGGTTTTGTTCTCCCACAGAAATTTCTAGTCTGGAAACCCTATGTAGGAACGCTTTGAGTTGGAACTGACTTGATGACATTTAACAACAAGAAGAGAGGACAGTAGTATAAAGTAGAGGAATAAATTTGAGGGATTTTTTTCTTTTTTTTTTTTTGCGACTTGAGGCCAACTTTTAAAATGCAGAGAATCCCTAGATTGAAGAACCGAAGATTTTTTAAAAAGAAAATGAATAATTGTACGGGCTCAGCTCAATTCCTGAGGTTGTAGAGGATACAGGACAGAAAGAGTTTTGAGCAATTAGCTTTGAACAAGTGATAGACAAGGACGTTTGAATGACTATGAACATAGAAAAATTAGTAGGCTGTTATTGTTGTTAAGTGCTGTTGAGTCGGATCCGCACCACACCAAGGGCTCCAATTAGAAGGTAGAGAGGTTGAAAATTTAAGAAAGTTTATGATTCTGTCTTTCTTATAAAAAGAGGCAAGATCATCAACTGAGAGTGGTGAGGGCCAAAAATAGGTTTGATGAATGTGGCAAAGGTTGGAACATCTGTGGAGAAGAGGAAAGTAGTTATCTAAGGACAACTGCTTTTTGTTATCAGTGAATACCGTATTAGCCATACATTTATTTCTGTTCATCGATTCTGCTATTTCAGATCTGAAACAGCAAAGAATTGGAAATCCCTAACAGACTCTGAACGTTCTAGAGCATCTCTAGAGGCTATCGCTGAGCATGTTGGTATGTAGCTATTAAAAAAATAATTAAATTGTGCCCATGTAGTTTAAAGATTTGTGCAAAGGTTTCCCTTCTACCTGTGTAGCTTATTTATTAAAACATTAATTTCCTAAAGAAATTCACGTTAACATTTTGAGTTACTTTTATATTTTAAAGTGATTTGATCATTATGCATAAGTTATGTGAATCAGACTTTAGTGTCCCAATTTTATGATAAAAGCTGATGCACAAAGACACCTAAAATGGCTTGAGTGTGTTATCACCACCTCTAAATTCTTTTTTAATCAGCCTTGTATTTTTCTTGAACAAGCTTATCTTTTATATCTGCTCTCTTTTTCAGGGTATGCAGTTTCATACCTTTTTTTTTGTTTCAATTTAGCAAAAGACCATGTTTGAGAATAAAATGGAATTTAATGAGGAAATAAAACAGCCTGTATAACAACAATGGGAAAGCAGGGATTTGAATTCGAAACATTTAATTCTTGGTATATCAGTTCATCAAATCATACTTTATTTAGCCTTATTTTGCAAATTTAGCTCTTAAAGTATAGCATCTACAGAAATAGTTATTTTTTTTTCTCCACCCCCTTTTTTTAATATTAGAAAGATTAGTTGAAGTCCTGAGCATATTCATTGTTTTAGAAGTATATATCAAAGTATATTTCTTCCTTATTGATTTTCTATTTGAGAAAACTATGTAATATTCATTATATACTTCTATTTTGCATGATTTGAAAATAATTATGCAAAGTGATGTCATCATAAATTTAGATATGTTTTTTTAAAAATTGTTCCAAACTTTAAATTTTTCAAGCTCATTGAAAATGTTTTGTTCATTTATGGTATAATAACCTTGTTTGATTAAAAAAACATCGTATTTATTGACTAGAGTTTTTTTTTCTCACTAAAATTTAGCTTTTACTTAAACTTGGGTTACAGAAATCAAAAGATTATGGTTAAGCAATTTTAATGTGATTTTCTGTTTTCTTGAAGATGCTGTATTGTCAGCTTCTGAGAGATCTTTTTCAGAAAGGCCTTTTTCTTCATGTGCAAAGAAAGTGATCGAATTGGATGGCCAAGCAGAAGAGCCTTTTCAGAGCCCATCACCGGTTCTCAGGTCATCAAGGAAAAATAGGGCAGAATCTGGAGATTCTCTAGAAAATATATCATCATTATCTCTACTAAATACCCCTAGTAGAATTCTTAATGTGTCAGAAGCCAAAGTTGAAGAACCACCTAAGAAAAAATCAGAAATACGAGAAGAGGTAGATTATGCAATATTGGAGAAGAGTGAGATTGAAGTTGCCTATAATAAACAGTCTGAGAAATCTGATGTCTTATTGAAACCAGACCTGGAACAGGGAGATTCATCTGAAATTCTTTCAAAGAAAGATCTTCCTTTTGCTCCTGCAAATGTTCAGAAAGGCTTGGTTACATTAGCTATAGAAAGTCTTCATAAAAGGGGGGAAATGTTGAAAGAGAGACAGCCAGATCAAGATACGGATCATAGTCCAAACAGCCAGTCAGGAAATGGCATTCATGAACAAAAGAACATAAAGGGAAGGGACTCATCTTTGTCAGAACATCTTCCGACTCCTACAGAGGTATCATACTCTGAAGATTTTGACGGATCTTCTCTCAGGAAAGATGTTTCAGCTGAATTGTACAAAGATGACTTTGAGGTGTCAACTTTTTTGTCACTCAGGAAAGACTCTCAGCCAATGAGGAGCTCTAGAAGTAGAGCTACTAGCTTTAGTAGTGATGATGAAATCAGTGAATGCTTAAGTGAGAAAAGCCTTTCCATTCACAGCAGTGTCCACTCTGAAAGGCTGTTAGAACTCAAGTCCCCTACTGAGCTTATGAAAAGTAAGGAGCGCAGTGATGTAGAGCATGAACAGGGAGTTACTGAATCCCTTTCCTTGGGTTCAGTTTCTATTGCAGATGAATTGCGTGATTTCCACATTGGTGATAGGGTATTAATTGGCAATGTTCAACCAGGAACTCTTCGATTCAAGGGTGTGACTAGTTTTGCTAAAGGATTTTGGGCTGGAGTAGAGTTGGATAAACCTGAAGGAAATAACAATGGAACATATGATGGTATTGTATACTTTGTGTGCAAAGAGAAACATGGTATTTTTGCTCCTCCTCAAAAAATAACTCATATTCCAGAAAACTTTGATGACTATATAGACGTAAATGAAGATGAAGACTCTTATTCAGATAAGCAATATCATCAGTACTATAATCAAGAACCAAAAGATACAGAGGATCATAAGTCTGATAAAGAGAAAGATACAATTGAATATTTTTATGAAAAGTCTCTACCTAGCATGCATGATACAGATGCACTGGTTGACAAAAGCCTTAAAATAGAAACAGACAATATACAAGGTATTTCTGGGGCACTTGAAGCACATGTTCACCAGCAATCTTCAGTGGAGTCACTGATTTCTTCAAAGGAAAACAAAGACCTTATTTCTAGTACTCCAGAAAAGGTATCCATTGCTGTAGAAGGTGATACTTTAGACAATGCCTTTTCAGAAGAATTGAAGAAGCAATACCACTTCACAGAAAAGGAAGAGAATTTACATTCTGAAATTTCAGAAAAGCTTTCTACTCCACTTCTGGACCTTTTAACAAGAGAAAAGAAACAACTGGAATCCCAGCTGAGGTCATCACTAAGTGAAGAAAAAAAGTCAAAGCAACAACTGGAAACAGTCAGCTTACTGACAGACAATTTATTAAAAGTCTTTGTGAAGGATACAGTCAACCAATTGCAACAAATTAAAAGAGCTCGGGATGAGAAAATCCATTTTAGCAATCAGGAGCTTCTTGATGATGACCAAAAGAAAGTGCCATTCCAAGGCCTGTTCCCAAATCTCGAGGAACAATCAAGTGTTCCAAGTTGCTATTTAAGGTCTGAATTAGAAGATGAAAAAGAAGAGATTTCCTCTCCAGATATGTGTCCCAGGCCTGTAAGTATTCTCAGAAAAAGTGTCACTTTATCTTACCTGTGTAGAGTGTTTTAATCTTGTGGCTCTTAGCTTTTCTTCCTGACATGCTGTTGTTTATTAGATAAAGATCACTATGCCAGTTTTAAATGTTTTGTAGTTATTTTTCTGTCTGAAGTGTAATTGTCCTCTATTACCTCATGAGTAGGCACTAGAGTGGTGTCATAAACACTGGCAGGTTTATGGGAACTGAAACATCCATTTAAATAAACTCTTGGGTTGACACGCCTTGTGCACATGATTAGATCCCCTTGTGGACTTAACATTTGGATGTATTCCATGGACCAGTTGTTAACAGCCCAGTTCTTGAGGAAAACCTTTTTTGCATATGAAATTATTTATCTGCCCATTAGTCCTAGTTGCCCTGCAGATGTTACCAGCTGTGATGATGAGTCTAGTAAAACTGAAATCTATCCACTATGACATATACTGAGACCATCAACTTGTTTAGGGTGCCCATGGGCCATTGAGCAATAGTAATGATTTTGCTCAATGGTCCAGGTTCACCCTAAACAAGTTGATTGTCTGAAGTATGAGTCATAGTAGATATATTTGAGCCAGATAACCACCAAAGGTGAGAAATTTGACATCTCTTTACCATAGCCAGAGACAGCCCCTCAAAAACAGAATAATGATGATACAAAAAGGAAAAGAAAAACATCAATAAATTTTCTATCGCAATTCAGTTATAAGACTTACATAAATTGAATTGTGGGAGACAGGATAATTCTTAAATTGTTCATTAGTAGCTTCCATATTGTTTTTGTTTTGATTATATATAAAGAAATAATAAATCTGCAAACTATATATTATTTTTTAAAATAATAAATGATCTGAGGTCACTAAATGGTGTTCTGTTTGAATGATTCCACTTGTATAGGAAAGTCCAGTGTTTGGTGCCAGTGGGCAAGAGGAGCTTGCTAAGAGACTTGCTGAACTTGAGATCAGTCGGGAGTTCCTGAGCGTGTTAGGAGATGATCAAGACTGGTTTGATGAAGACTTTGGCTTGAGCTCTTCTCACAAAGTCCAAAAGAATAAAGTAGAAGAAGCAATTGTACCTCTTATGGCAGACTCTAAAAGACCTCCCCAAAAGCCATGTGAAACATTATTGGCAGTCCCACATACTGCAGAAGAAGTAGAAATTCTGGTATATAATGCAGCAGAAGAACTTTGGAAATGGAAAGAATTAGGTCATGATCTGCATAGTATCAGTATTCCTACAAAACTGCTTGCGTGTGTCAGCAATGGTCAAGATATAGAAAGCACTAGTAAAAGAGTCTATAAGCAGGTATGTAACATAAGAAGGTGATTCTAATTTTTAAACTTCTCTCCATTGTTGTTTGTATGCTTAGCCATTTTATTTTATCACTCTTTCAAGGCGGTTTTTGATTTAACTAAAGAGATCTTTGTGGAAATATTTGCTGAGGATCCCAACGTGAATCAGCCTGTCTGGATGAAGCCATGTAGAATCAACTCTAATTATTTCCGACGAGTGAAAAATCCAAATGACCTTGATGAAATTAAGGTAAACTGAAAACTGTAGAGTATTTCCTTTTTTGATTTATACAGGAACCCAGGTGTGGGTTAATGCACTGGACTGCAAAGTCATTTGAGCCACAAGGTTGGCGGTTCAAACTCAGCAGCTGCTCCTTGGAAACCCTATACGGGGTCGTTCTGTGTCAGAACTGACTCGGTGGCATTTAACAACAACAACAACAATAAATGCCATAAAAATAAGTGCTCTTCTGTGTTAGATACTTTTCTGTGCCATTCACTTTTATGTCTTCAAGGCCTACCACAGGATAGGTAGTCAATAAATATTTGCTGATCCACTGACGTCTGGAACAGTGAAGGAATGAGGGTAACAGGGAACTATAAATCCTTTATTTTACAAAGCAAAATGTAATTTTTCAGACTTAATTTCCTATACTCAATTTGTAACTTTTAAGAATTATGAAATATTCAGGAAAAAAATTTAACTTATAGTAGTTTTCAGTAATGGAGACGCTAAATGTAATGTTCTAGAAAATATGGCATTGTATACGTCTTTTCAACTTATCAGTCCTGCGCATGTTAATCACCTTTTCATCTCTGATTTTGGAGATTTCAAATGTGATTTTAAAATATGTAGGATAGTATAATATATATTTAAAAA